ATAGTTTTTCCCTTTAGGTAAGGGAAGTTGACATTGCCGTGAATTCGGCCATTTTTGAAGCAGAGCGATAGCTGATAACCCGTGTGGCCGCTCGCGAGAATGATTTCTTCTGTGCAGAATCTTGTAAATAATGTGTTCACAGCATTAAAAGGCTTGACGCGACATATATCACGGGTGTTTGGGCTGCCAAAATAGTTGTATCAAATTAGGTCGAAGTTTTCGTACACACGTCAAGGGAAGTAACAATTGGTGGACCATGATCAAATTTTAAGATTCGTTTTCGTTGCAATGGCATCACTCCCTATCCCAACGGCGACAAGGGAGCAAATTTTGTAGTAGCGGTGTATGCAATAAATGTGTGCGGTTCTTATCAAGACCTTTGGCGTCCACCCTCCTCTTTGCAAAACGTGGAGTACACCAAACTGAATGCTGAGTTCAGCTGCCGTGTCGTGTGCATCGGATCGAGTTTTGGGGCTCAAAGCCCCACGAGCAGCCAGAGGCGGTTGACCTCAGCCGTACGAACAAAAACGAGGAATATCTCTCAGATTTGAGAAAACTCCAGTAATTGCAGATGTAACGTCTATCATAACACAAAGCCTCTGCCTCTTGTGTGCTCCCTTCGCTCTCAATTTAAAAAGTAGCTGTAGTTCATCTCTCACTCTAGGTCTTCAGACTACCCGTCGCATGGACGGGTAGTCCAGTACGAGGAGAGACAGATAGATGATGGAAGCTTCTGTTTATATTCCAATGGCAGAGGAGAGCAGAGGCTGAATTCTGTAGAGTTGAGTGGGGGCTGAATTTCTCCAGTCACGATGTTACAGTTAGGCAAATTTAGCATTTCTGATAAACGAAGTCATCGTGTGTCGAGTGAAGTCCTGTGGGTGAATAATAAAAAAGATTCTTCACTCTGGATGATGTGACCGGAGTAGTCGCAAAGTTTGTAAGCCTATCTCCACTACCTCCAACAAAAGATCTGATTGATCTGAAGGAGGACACACATGCAATGAAATTGCAAAACGATGGGGTTATCGAAATGATATGGCGGTATTGGAAGAGGATTTGAGCTTGTCATTCGTCGTGTACACCCGCAGAGCATTAAGTGCGAGTTGCTGGCCTGCTGTTGTCAGAAATACTACGGCTCCATTTTGACCTGTGGTATGGATAATCACGAGGTTGTTACCGGAGATCCGCCACCCGTAATATCTCGGATAGGAAAGTGTGTCAAGAAATCAACTCCCGTAGCAAATATTGCGCCACACGACGATGGCTCTCACCACGACAACAGTGTGGCGTCAGTGGGACTTTCATCTGTGCAAAGCACAAAGAAAACTCGGTGAGAGGGGGTCAGTCGGCTTTTCAGCCTTGATTCTCTTTGTCAGAAAAGCAGACGGCAAATGTCAAATTTCGCATGCTTATAATGAGCTTCATAAAGCCGCGAGGCCCGCGCAAATGGCGATTACTCGAATTGAGACGGTGTAAAAGATCATGGTCAGCCGCACTATGCTCAGTGCCCGAGACCGAATTGATGGATGACACCAACTGCCAATAAGAGACAGCAAAATCTTCAACTGTGTGTAAATCATCCGAGAAGAATGCTATAGTCGTGTGTACTAGTTATGCCAGGGGGAGTGTCTTATACACAAGATACGCTTCATTGACTGGTCATACAGCCCTTCAGGCCTCACGAGGCTATGTAACAACGTATTATCTCATTGTTCATGTTTGTGTGGAGCACGGAAAATTGAATATGAATGATCGCGTTGATCACTTGCGGCAGTGCTCGAGTGTATACACTTATCAAGACATGTGTGTAATTGACGCCAACATTTTTTTAAGCTGTTGATTCGGGGGCATGGTCTGTCGGCAGATACGATAACAATAATGACAGCTGTAAAGTGGCCAATTCTCTGTTCTGACGAACTCAAATAATTGATTTCTCCTACAAACTTTCCAAATGCAATCTAAATTATGGCATATGGCATGACGCCTCACCAACCTCTATGAGATGGAGTTAGCGAGGCAGAAAAGGTGCCCCTCATAGTTGTGAAATGGAGCTTTATAAAAAAACGATTTTCATACCCGTGGTCCGAGCAGCCGTTTCATGTCAACCGCAACGCTTCTGCATTTGCCTTAGGCTGTGCTGGACATGAACGCATAATCCTGTTTTAGTGTCTACAGATCAAAGCGTCTAAGAAAAACAAGTTAACTCACGACGTCAGGCTCCTTAAAATAATTTATGCTCGTGTTGAAATCAGGATGCCCCGACTTGGCTCTTAGCCATTTCCAATATATAGAAATCCTGTCTCTTTATGAACAGCGACGTCGTAACCACATTTAACAATGAACGGTAATACTGTTTCTTTTTTTGCCTTAATGATTTTGGGATAAGGTACTAGATTCTGACCAGATCCGGTGAAGTGAATATACTGCTCTTAATTTGAGACCTCTTGATACTTAATTGCCTACTTGGAAAGGTTCTCCCGGCGTGGCTACTGCTGAGGACATGGCAATTCTTCTGTTGTTGCTTTCTCCGAGTAAAGGATAGATAAGTATGAATCAAAATGGTATTTATCAGCTAAGACGTTCTTTAAGGTTTAAGACTTGACCGGGAGCTGCGCTTGAGTCTTCGCACCATGAAGCATTCAATGAGCTTCAAGGCGAACATCTGTTTCTTTGGCCCTGGAATGGGTTAAGCGACGAGAGTTTTTCTCCTCATTGTCAAATTTATGCAAGCAGCCAGAGCTGTCAACAGAATATGACGCCGTGGCCACTACTGATCCGGTGGAGACGGCGCCCCTCAAAAGTGGTGACCTCTATGGTCTAGAAGTACATTTGAAAAAAAAATTGCGTTTGTGTTCCGCATTCATACGGAGCTGCAGTAAGAGCCGCGACACATCGAGCGGCTTTCATCTATCAGTTGATCAATGTCGTGATCACGACGCGATATCGCCTCTAACGACCTTACTTACGATCGTTGTGATGTCTGAGCATGTAAATAAGCTAATAAACTCGCTGATCTTGGATTTTTGACTTGTGATGAAATCGACCTCGTTGTCGCCCTGTAGTAAAGTACTTTGCCAATTATGCTCAGGAAACGGGCATGGTGCATGCAGCTTACGCAAAATTGAATTAGAGCGTTGTAGAAAAGCTTAGCTTTGATGATTCGCTTGATCGAAAGAGGCGAGGCCGTGTACATCTGAAAAATGATCAGGTCATGCAAGGAATATCAGCGAGTCTCACTAAGACTATTTTCAACAGAGAACATCTCGCCTTCCTATCTATACCCTTAGGCAACAGTCCGAAAAAAACAGCCAACATTAGGCGTGGCTCGGAACGAGACAAACGGTTTGTGACCCAAATGACTTTCAAATCCTGGTGGGGAAGGGTGACACAGAGTGAGCCCCAGCTATAATACATTTCCTTCGGACTTCGAGCTAATCCCAGTAGTACTGTGGTGATCAAAAGTACCATGATGAAGTGTCATGATCTAAGAGATTGAAGTGGTGGTATCACTCCGATTGGAATGGTCTGTGGAGCACATGGTGTGCTAGCCTTACGAAATGCGTAAAATAAGCCACTTATTTTAATAGATATTAAATGTATCAATATCATTCAGCTATTTCATTTTGTCTGATTTATCACTTTATAATTTGAGCAATCTTAAAATACTAGTATCAGACATCTACGTCCCAGGAATGGCGTTCGGTTTCAACCTCTGTGTAATTGATAACACTGCTTTACGAGTCAAAGCTTCGCAAAGGGTTTTATGGCGGCGTTGGACGTGTTTCTGTGGCGCGACAAGTTCGTCTTCTCTATAGATCATCATAATATAGGTGTGTGATACGTAAATACTATTCGAAGAAAGCACTGAATACGTTGGATGGAATCTCGAAGCTGACAAGGATAAGAAAAATATTAAGATGATTTTCTTAAGGCAGTTTTAGGAAATTGTCAATGGTCTTTGATCATACCAAACCATTCTACTACATACACAAAGAGTAAGTATAGAATTATATGAGCAGATATTGTTGCTCATGATGCGGCTGTGATTTAAGAATTTAGATTGCGTTCTGACGCTAGTTAAAGTTATTTGCTTGGTAAGGTGAGGTTGGATTACAGTTATAGCTGCTAGAGACATTCATTGCTGATCTAAAACTATTCTATCTGCATTCAAAATGACAGCCATCACGTTAAAATTTGTCGAAATAGCTCCTTCATTGTCGTTCCGCACGAGGTTTAGACGTAATATGAGACGATGCTTTTCCATGCCTTGAGAAACCAAATTTAGTATCGAACATTGTTACAACGACCAATACCGATGAATTTTGTCGTCTATGACGTTCTGGTTGGCCCGCTTTCCATGGTTTTATTTGTAAATACTTTTGGCAAAAGGACCGAGGAACCAGCTGAGTTGTTCTCGAACGAAAGGAGCTAATAGAGACAATAAATTGCGAAGCAGTCAGTTTTGCAATTGTCAAAGCTGAAAACTGACATTTGAAAGGAAGTTCAATAATATTCATTTTTCTGAATAAACCTATAAATTGAGCAATCGTTAATTTCTAGGATCAGAGCTCTATGTCCCAGAAACGGCGTTAGGTTTTTCAACCTCTGTGTGATTGCTGGCTTTACGGGTCAAAGCTTCGCAAGGGTTCTGAGGTGGCGTTGGGTGTCTCTGTGGTACAACAAACAATAAAAAATTAAAAAACAAATCTATAACATGAAAATAATTTTCTTACGATTGATAGTATGACCCAATTGTCCGTCAGCATGTCATTTTTACGAGACGAAAATCAAAAACGGATAAAACCGCAAGAAATGTTTACATTTGATCATAGATTGTATCGAATTTGATGCTGTGATACAATCTCTCGCTTGTTTCTCTCTACATAAGTCGCCGTCCTTTGATCATGACAGCATGATTAGTGTCCAATGCATTGGTAGTATCGACAAGATGAGATTCTACACTGTGAACCATAACGAGATTAGTTGAAGATGCAAGTTTAGGCTCCTCTTGAAAAAAATTGATGTTGTAGCGCCATTTTCACAGAAATCCGTTTCTTTGGATTTAATTCCAGCATCTGTGATAACAAATCCACAACAGCAGCCGATAGCATTGGAAAGTGCTTCACAAGTGGTATTAGATTTGTATCTTGAAATCGAAGATAAAGTGGTAATTCTCCTGCATCATGCCATCCATTTTCATTCGAAGATCCTAAAACAGCAAAGATTTCACTCGTTTGATCAATGTCTGAGGATCCGTCCGCTAATGGTCGTTGAAGTAACATTTCAGCAAAGATACACCCAACGAACCACATGTCAACTTCGAAACCATATTCATTTTCTTTGTTAGTAAAAAGTTATTTGGCTTGAGATCGCGATGTAATATACCACGAGTATTCAATACACCTAATAGTAACATGTTTGAATACGCTTTTAATTGCGCTATGTCAAGATTTGGGACACTCTCTGTAGCTCCAATTAACGCCTCAAGATCACTATCCATGTACTCAAGTACCAAGTAAAGTTTATCATCACGCTCA